TCCAGAATTTTTTCCTTCATAAGAACTTTTCCTTGTATTATGATTCCTTATCTCGACCTTAGAAATAAAAAAAATATTTGATAATCCAAACAATCTTTATCTTGTTTTATTTTTGCATCGTCTTGGAATATGTTAGGCACTGATAATCCAAAAATTATATTATTATTTTTATCTTTCCTGAAAATTCTAGAAAGTATATTCTCTAAACACTCTAGAAATAAAATGAGAAGCATTATACGTATTCTTCGTATATTGTTCTTTCTCTACTTAAACCCAAAAATACATAAGATATTTATAAACGAACTAAAATCTAATTATCAAGCTTTTTTTTTTCTTCACAAGAAATTCTTCTTATATTAGGATTCTATCTCGGCTTTAGAAATAAAAAAAAAAAATTTGATAATTCAAACAATCTTTATCTTGTTTTACTTTTGCATCTCCTCTCTTACCGTGAAATCTTTTAGGCTCCGATATCACCACTTATTGGAGAAGAAGAGAAAAATTTTAAAATTAAAAGAATATTTAGAAATAAACAAGCTAAGAAGTATATAAAAAGCTAAAGTAAATTTTAACATTGTTCAACAAATATCAACTAAGAAAACTAAAATTTTCACCATATGAAATCAATTATAAGATCTTGAGTTATTTTAGTTTAAGTATGACTTCTTTACGGATCCTCTCACATAAATTTGTTTAAAAAATTTATATTTTTCTTTCATTTCTTTTTACAAATTTTAGAAGACATCATCTTTAATTATATAAAAAAAAACCTCACCTCCTTTTCTCTCTCCCAAATGTCATATCTTAAGTGTTAAGGAAAGTGCCTGTACTCCACAAGCATGAAAAGATTCAGAGAGCTGAAGGATTGGACGGCCATTAAAGTAGCTTTGTCTTCCGTGGGATCATTCGATGATCTCACTCATCTGTATCTAAACCTTTAGCAATGCGGTTCGAAAGCCACTCCACCCTCCTTTTTATCTCCTACTACCACTTAAGGCTACCAACATGCATGATTATTATTTGAGGACCTGTTGGGACTTTATTGCCAATGATTGCATGCAATTCTTCTTCTCATTGCGAACAATGTGTACATGTGGAATTACAACTTTTGTGAAGACCATTAGATAATGGTTTAAACAAAAAGCATGCATGATGAGCTTTGGCAATATGTTAAAATATGATAAAAATCATAATATAGGATATGACATGAATACCTTTGTGTATATAGATTCGGTTGCCATCACATGATGAAATGGTAGGTAAAGTACAATAACTAAGCATAGATGATGAGCTTTTAGCAACATCTTGATAGAAGATGAGCCAAGTTAGTGCTTGAGATAAGCATGTGGTGAGTCGGAACTTAACTCGAGCTTGGTTCGTGTTCAATATGATTTGTTCTCGATACTGATTTGATCGAGGAGGAAGAACAGAATCGAAAATCAAAAGAAAAATTTATACGCTAATAAATAAAAGACGTATAAGAAAGCTGATACAAAATTAATATGGTTTGGTAACTCTCGCTTATATCTAAAAAAATAAAACTTTTATCATATAAATATTTCACACTATATTTTAACTTTTAATGATTTTCTTCTCCTACCAAAACCTAAATATACATGAGATACTCGTACTATAATTCCTTATCGTCCTAGAATACTAATTTTAGAAATCTCAAAATACTAATCGATCATATCATATTTAACGACTCCTCCTACTCAGTCTATTAATTCGACTTTAAGCTCAAACCAACAAATATTTATCGATTATTTTATATTTTTATAAAAAAAAACTTTTTAGGTGAAAAAATATTATTTAATTAAAAAAATAAAAAAAAAATAATGAGAAAAATAGAAGGATACAGTTGGTAGTATGTTGAAAGCAGTTCGTTCCGTTCAAACAAGTAAGGGTTCGTGGTTAAGCAATCGCCTCATTCTAAAGCAGTCCGTTCAAAAAAGCCGTTCCTCCTCATCTTCCGCCCTTTTTCCTTCTTCTTCCTCCTTCTTCCTCCGTCTGTCTCCCACTTCTCGTTCTCCCCCATTTCCTCCTCCTCTCTCTCCCTCTCTCTCTTCTCTCCGCTGTCGTCAGACAATAACACTAGTAAAGCGGAAACGAAAGCGAAAGCAAAAGCAAAAGCAAAAGCAAAAAAAGCTCCCACCTCGCTCGCAGCCCGCCCACCCCAAAAAGAGCAAAAGCCAAACGGAGACGTATGTGCGCAAACATTTGTTACATATACGTGGATCCAAAAGCCATGGCGGATCAGATCGGAATCCTTCGAGGGATCTCCTCGTCCTATTGGAGCTGGGCTGGCGATGGCGAACGAGATCGTGCCCGCGGAGGGACCCTCCTCTATGCCGTCGGTCCACCGGCCGAGTGCCCCCCAGTACTCGCGGGCTCCCTTCGACAGCGAGAAGGTCCCGCCGACGCTCGTCGCCGACGTGCGCCGCTTCCTCCGCGTGGCCAACCAGATCGAGAGCGAGTCCCCTCGCGTCGCCTACCACTGTAAGAAGAAGATACCTGCGTCGCCCTATTCCTGGTCAATCTACATTTCTCGACTTACCCGATTCTTGGATCGCCATGGAGAAGAGAAATCAGAGCGTAGAGATTGTAGGTCATTTATTGGTTCTTCATCCTTTTGCTGTTATTATCTATTTGGATGAACGCCCCCCTACGAAAGTGGATTCAGGAAGATGCACCTAGAACGACATCCAAGAGATGATATGTTCCTTCGACCCGTCGTTAGGGAGACCTGCGAACCCCGGACATGTTAACTTGAACACCACTCGAATCCAAAAGCTTAAGCTCGTAGCTTATGGCACAACATGTCTAACCCAACTTAACACCTCTTTTAGGGATGGCAGGAAGAAATTTTGGTTCAAGAGCGTAGGATGTGTTCTCGAGAAAATGAGAATATTCGGAAAGGTAGGATGTACCTACATTCATTAATGTCAAAACAAATAAAATTTGGAAGCAACCAGTAGCATGTGCTCGGTGGAGAGGGATCCAATCCTGTTTTCTATTTTTCCCTCAAAAGAGTTACATAGCATGCGTTTTTAATTTGCTGACTTCGCATCATTTTCTTGATGACTTCCATGGACAGGTCGCTTTCATGCTTTTGAGAACACACACATGCTGGATCAAAATTCAAGCGGTCGGGGTGTCCGACAATTCAAAACCGCACTTCTTCTGAGACTGAAGCAGGTTCTTGAATCTTACCTTTACGAATAGCTCACAATTTTGTTTACTGTTTTAGTCCTTTTTGATAGCAGATAAGATTTCCTCATATCTTCTATCACTTTCGGTGTCCATGTAGCTATTGCAATACAAAATTTTAAGATGTTTTGCATGAATAGAGATTTTCTTGCTCTGTCTCAGTGCTCTGTGTTGAATAACACATCATTAGGTAATTCGAATGTTTGCTTTTCTTTTTCTTCTCATTGCCCCGTGCCCCTGTGTGCACACGTCACGTGCATGTACTGCTAGGAACGTATCGATACTTCATATTCTGATCTCGTCTATTTTGTTGAATTGAGTAATATACTATGAAAGAGATTGATTTTATTGTGCAAGTTTTGAGGGAGATATTTTCCTCAATCATGTACTCAAATAACGTAAGATTGATTAGATTTCCATGTATGCCTCTATCATGATCTTCTATCATATTTCTACTCCTCATATCTGTGTTTTGCTTTGCGTGACAGGATGAATATACCACCATGCATATGCGGAAGGAAACAAGTGATGCTCGGGAATTGAAATATTTCTACAACAAGTAAGTTATTACTTAACTCCAAGAGAGGTCACTGTTTCTAATTTATAATCGATGGTTTCACTTATACTGACCCCAAGAGAAATTACCATTCCTGACTCCTAATTGGTGGCTTTGCTCTTTCATGTGCTATTTGTTTTTTTATCATTTTTCTTAGCAGTTAACTTCTTCTTTACCAGGAAGAAAATGAAAGAAGGTGAAGTTTCGTCTGTGCTATTCGAAGTGTTGAAAGCATTCATGTCTAGAGCTGGCCCTGAGGTTCCCAGCTTTGTCCTTTTCAAAACGTCAATAAGGTTCCTTGGCCTACAAGAAACTAGCACACTTGATGCTTTTCTCATATTAATTGTATCTCGCAAATTCACAGTCTGCTGCTGCTGCTGTTGACATTGAAGAAAGTGTCCGTTCATATGATCGATATAATATTCTTCCGCTTAACACTAGAGGTGGCCAGCATGCAATTATGCTTCTTCCAGAGGTTAAATAAATCTTCTATCTGAGGTTCTTAGTGAATGTCATCGTAAAATTTGCTATGTCAAATACGCTGGAGGTGGCCAGCATGCAATTTGCCGTATTAATTTGCTAACTTTCCATCTCAGTTATATTTTTGTAGATTGCCAAGGATACATTCATGATTTAGCTACTTGCACTAGTGTCAATTCTGATTTATGTCATATCCTCTTATGGAATATCTTTGAACTTCAAATTTACAGATTAAAGCTGCAGTTTCTGCTGTACGTAGTGTTCGAGGTCTTCCATTAGCGGAAGGTGCTCAGAATGATGCAGGTGGCCACAAGGATTTATTTGAAAGGCTTCAATGCTGGTTTGGGTTTCAGGTAGATAGAATAAGCTATGCATTTTGTGCAATGATACCCACCTTAACCTATGCACGGTTGGCATGGAAAACAATTGCTCTATTGATGGTTCCTTAGCTTTTTCATGTGAGCCTCGTGTCTTAAATTCAGCATTATACTGTAGTTTATGAAGTCGATGTGCTTTACAGAAAGGAAATGTAGCTAATCAGCGGGAACATCTGATTTTACTGCTAGCTAACATACAAGGCAGGCTCAGTCCAAAGCCCACGTCCATGTTGAAGGTACAACCTGCTGGGTAGATATGCATCATCTTATATTTGGTTTCTCATGAAACACGGGTATAGACACAGAATTTTTCTTTGTCAGCTTGATGATAGAGCGGTACATGAACTAATGGTGGAATTATTTGAAAATTATGTGAACTGGTGCAAATTTTTGGGGCGACAAAGCAACATTTGGTAAGGACTTGGGCCAGTTATTCCTTAACTGACTAGACAAAAACATCTACTGTTTGGTATTTACTCTCTTGATATCATTTACTAACGAATGTGCAATGTGTCTTCTACTTCTATTTGCCATTAGGTTACCGTCTGTGAAGCAGGAAGTGCAACAGTACAAATTACTATACATTTCTCTATATCTGCTTATATGGGGGGAGGCTTCTAACTTACGGCTAATGCCAGAGTGCCTATGCTATATATTTCATCAGGTAATGTGCAATTTATATAATTATTTTGTATGATTATTTGTCGCTTTTAAAAAGGTTCTATACTATACAAATTGGACATCTAGGCAACAACATATGAAAGACAAATGGGTGTTATAGAAAGAAATATAACCACAGATAAGAAGAAAATAATCAATTGAGATGGCTCAAACATGTTGAAAGAGGCCATGCCCTGATAAGTCAATTCACATATGAGGTACGGCGAGTCTGTGACAGAGAGAAGGGACTTAGAAAACTAGGTTAGAAGCAACTAGGAAGGCCATGATGACTCTAGGATTATCCATGTAAGTTGCTAGCAGGACGACCACATAGTTGGAGATCCAGGTAGTTAAACCCTAATAGTTTGGACCTAGTTTTCATGTTATTTAATACATGGAATTATAGATTTGTTGAAACTATTTCTTTCTTTGATGAGATTAAACTCTTCTTTCAGATGGCAGGTGACTTATATGGGATGCTATCCGGCGCAATTAGCTTTAAAACTGGAGAGAAAGTCGTACCTGCATATGGAGGAGAATGTGAATCTTTTCTCAACAACATAGTTACCCCAATCTACGATGTCATATATGAGGTTCTATACATTCATTCTCAAGTTCCTTATTGATTTGTCTTCTCTATGTTATCTTAGCTTGATTTTATTGTTGAAGGAAGCCCGAAAGAGTAAAAATGGGCACTCTGATCATTCGACATGGAGAAATTATGACGATCTGAATGAGTTCTTTTGGTGAGCATTGCCTTTTAATGATCTCCTTCGGTGCACACCTATATGAGCATGCTTATGACACCCAGCTGACTCTGTAACTTCTCTGTAGGTCTGTTGATTGTTTTAAGCTTGGTTGGCCCATGCGTCCTGACCATGATTTCTTTTGTACATCACCTCGATCTAAACAAAGTATGTCGCCTACCTCTAATCAAAGTACGTCAGCTCTCTCTAATCAAAGTATCGATACTAAGGTATGACAATCATTTCTTGTTCTTTGACTTTTAACTAAATATAACAGAGTTGCTTGCTCTTTCCAAAATATCGTTGTTAATTGAAAATTTACTAATTAAAGATGATGTATCCAAGACAGAAAGTAGGTTTGTTTAATTGCCATTAAATCATAAGAATTATTAGTCTAGTGCTCAACTTACATGCTTTGTATTTTTGGATTTGGTATCTTTATCTAACATGAGTTTCTTTTTATTGTAATTTAATTTCATTGATATTTAACAATAGAATAAACTAAGGTTCATCTTGCCGGTCTGTATCAGTGTATCGGCAGGCCATCAGTATGGTAGATAATAAGGCATATCGACGTACCATATGTCGGTACGATGAGGCATACTGACAGTATGAAAAAAATATCAAAATAGCTCTAAAAATTTTTAAAAATAGAAAAAATATATTAAAAATTTTAAATTAGAAATAAATATGAAATTAGTATAATTCAAGCAAAAATAATCTAAATTAGAAAATAATAATGACATATATCTTTTTCGGGCTTTGAGGAGTAGCTTTGCTTTATGTTCTGGACCATCCTTCCATTAATATTGAATTATCTATAAAAAAATAATTTAAATTATTAGATTATTTTTAAATAACTTAAACTTTAAGATTCAAATGAATCAAGATATCAATCGATGGATATACCTAGTTTTACCACCAAAAGTAATGATGGGTCTCCACGGGCGGTGGATCAGGTCTCTCGATCCTATGTATTTGTATATTAATTTGATATGTTTGTCAGACCTAATCCTAAAATTGATCCCACGACATGTTTGTCAGACCCAATCCTAAAATTGATCCCACGATATAGTATAATGATACACCATATGCCATGGTGTATCAATGTGGTGATGGTCGTAGTCTGATCATCCTGAACCATTTGTGTCTAAGGCGGCTCTTGAGGCAAGGACGATTGTGGCATGTATTGTTGTGGAACATGGAGAATATCAAAACTTTTATTTTCACCATTGATCTGTTACTTCGTATCATAAGATCGATTATCGTATTGCTGCTCGAAGAAGAATGACCAACTATCACCGTACTACTATTGGCCATAACATTCTTTATAATATGACAACTATGAATACGATGAGCTTCGCTCTGTGTCTGCGCCGTGTAGGTTCTGTTGCATCTGCTCACAATCATCTACTGTCTTTCTCTTCCCCTTTTATGTATAAACTTGACCAGTATTTTGTTGAGCTCTATGATTTGAATCTTGGGTGACATGTAAAATATTGCTCCTCGATCCATACACCACCCTTAAATTACGTAGATGGGACCATTGACTCCCCGACGTCGTTGCCATAATCGGTCGACGCATTGCTGTCCATGTCGCTGTCATGTCTTTGGACCGAGCGAGTTGTTGAATGCGATTGAGAAGGTGTCTCATCGCTTGACTCGATTCTTTCTAATGGAGCGGCTGATACTACTACCTTCCTTTTTGCCTTTGCCTTTGCCTTTGCACATTGGGAGGACGACTGTGATGATTGGACGTCTCTAGTTCCTCGAGCAGTCTGACTCGATGTTGTCTAGCTCCTTATGTCACGTTCTGATCGAGGAGGATCTTCCTTCTGTTGGGGTTGTGCTTCTTCTTCTATTGTCTTGGTGATAAAACATGAAGGACATGAAGGATCTCCCGCCTCATCAAGTAGAGGATCCTCTTGATTCTCCGTTGCTTCGACACACTCTAACATCGGCTCTGAATCTTCGTTGTATTATTGGAGGTCGATGAGATCAATCTTTGTTTCCTTTAGCTCCTTATCGAGCTCAGCACATCGTAACCTTAGCCGCATGTTACAATGGACATATACTAGGTTTTTCAATCGTCTGTACGATAATCTGTTGTGTATCTTCGTGTGAATCAATGCGAATGTTGACCAATTATGTTCACAATCACTAGATGTCATCATCTACAAAAGTACACGGATGACAACCTTCCTTAAATTTGATGCATCATCTCTAAACTATAGCCACTACTCGATTGTAAAAAGATATAAAAAGGACTTTATTAGCATAACAAACAATTAATGTCAAATATAGCATATGTGTAACTTTTTCTCACCAGAATCCATATTGTAACGACATAATACAGCTACAACGTCGAAGAATGAACCAATTGTTTCATGAAATAATCAGCCCTGGTTGTATCTATGTGCTTGGGAAGAGTCGATATATAACATTTCTTAGTACTGATAATAAATTTGTTCTCATTCCAAGACTATACCGAAATCGAATGGCTGGATTTAAATAATAGGTATAAGACAAATAATTTCGTTAGTAAGAATTTTTTAAATATTAAAAATTATGAATTAAATTACATTGAATATGAATTTACTTACATTATGGATGTCTTGGTTCATATGTACTTAGGTCCTGCCATCGATGATCTATAAGTATTGATCGGCCTTAAAATAATCTATAAATGCTTTTTTGACCTCCTCTTTTGTTGTAATTAGCATATGTCTAAGAAAAGACATTTGGGGATGCTTATCTATATCGACCTTATGGAGGACAATATAAAGTGGTTCTACTCCTATTATAATTTAATTTACGATATCGTAAAATCTAGAATAAAAAATAATCTTTTTTACCTTTTTTTCAATCGCTTGATCATGAATACCTGAAAGCAGACCATTCTTGTGAGATGACCATTGCCTTGAGGTCCTACCTTTTTTGCTGTATTGACTTTAGTAATGAAATTTATAGCAAATCAAGTGACTCCAAGTCAAAGTATCTTACCATTCATAAACTTTGTGATCGATTGTGCTTGAGTTATACACTTGTTGACTGATGGTAGCTCGCCAATATCCTTCAGTATTAAATCCATGTAATGAGCTGCACATGGAGTCCAAAACAATATATTTTTTCTCACCAATTGTAAAATGATCTTCTTGAAATTGGCTCCATTGTCGATGACTATCTGAACAATGTACTATGGTTTGATCTCCTCTACTATGGTGTCGATTAGGTTTTTAATGTAATTTGCATCTTGAATCTTGTCGAAAACGTTAACTGACTTATGGAAAATCATTCATTTGTTGCAATACACAAGAAAATTAATGATACTCTTTCTTGTTGGCCCTATCCAATTGTCACACATTAGTATCACCCTATATTTGTCTCATTGCCTCTTGAAAGATTTAATCCAATATTTTAGTTTTGCCATCTTCTCATCCAAATACACGTCGTGAATTTCCTTTAGTGTTGGAGGTTGGATCTCCATGCCAGTCTTTTGAATAAAGGAGACCATGCTATGATAATATGGACCTTAGGTTGTGTTGGAAGTTGAATCATTTTGCAATTGCCTTCCCAATATTCTGTTTCTTTTCTTTTATATATGCATCGTCAATCTGTGTCTGCTTCGTTGTTTATAGAGGATAGGCTTGCGAATCAATATTAATAATAGTTAATGCTGACCTCTTGCTAAGTTCTCTTATAAAACCACGGATTCCACCCTGCCTCATGCTATCAATTCAGCTCAATTGATAAGGGGCAATTGACTACCTCATGCTGGCCTACTTTTAGATTCCTTGTGTCATAGATCTATTGCCATTATCACGGTCCCATCCATTATGAGTTAGGTCGTTGATGCCTCATTGCTTCCTCATTTAAGCGCTAATGCATCAGTGATGCATGAATACCAACTTTGAGATCCGGGTTGATATCATTGTCACGACCCTTATATTCGTTATAAACCAGTTTCTGCATAATTCTATAGTATTCTTCCTCAGCTCTTATCTTCTTTTTTATTGTATCTTTCCTTGCTTGTTGTAACTTATCTTGAAATGTTCAACAGACCTCTATCGGAACCTTCTTGCATTTTGCAATATCAGGATACTTGCCGGCCAAATGCATTTTCACTCGAGTGATTCCTTCACTCTTGTTAATGTAGTCACAATAAATACATTGTCAACAATGACGGTTCCCATATATCTTTTGGGTATGATCCCAAGAATCATCAGATGCCCATTCCTTTGGTACCATGTTTTTACCAAAATTGAATCAAATAAGCAAGTTATGATTACCCCTAATTTAAAAATAATAAAGTGTGATTATACGTAATAAACCCTACTTTATCATTATAAATATATCAATCAACCTATTTTGCATTAAATATGTAGAATTGACTCAATATCATTGAATACACTAATTACAATAATAAAAAAGATTAATTATACATTAATTAGCTTTATTTTACCACTATAAATATTTTAAATAACTTAAGAAGCATTAAATATGTAAATTTGATTTAATATAGGTCAAATTATGATGAAATCATCATTAAATACACTACTCACAGCATTAACATAGTTAATTGCTCTATAATTATTCCTTTTTCATCACTATAAATATGTCAAACACTCTAATATGCATTGAAGATATTTAATTAAACCAATATAGGTCAAATTTTGATATCATGGTAATTAAATACACTAATCACAACATTAACATAGTTAATAAATCCCTAATTAGTCTTCTTTCACCCCCCTGTAAATATGTCAAATACCCTAATAGGTATTAAAGACATTGAATTTACCTAATATGGGTCAAATTTTGATTAAATCATCATTAAAATTGCTAATTGTAGGTTAAAAAAAAACTTAATTAAACATATTATACCATTACAAACATGTAAATCACCTTAATATGCATGAAATATAAATATTTGACCCATTAAGTGTCTATTTTTGAAAAAATCAGTACTAAACATACTAATCACAACATTAAAAGTCTTAAATACTTCCTAATTAACATTATTCTACCATCAAAAATATGTCAAATTACATATTAGACATTAAGTCATTAACCACATAGAATAGACTTAATCATCTCATAAATCAATAAAAATCTGAAAAGAGAATATATACTAGAGTATTTTTTCTCTTAATCCTCCCAAATATAGCCTCTCAAATTTGATCCAATTCACAAATCACAGCTTTCTTGAGTTTTGGAGAATGAAAATGTGAGAATGAGACAGAGATGTGAGTGAGAAAGAGTTTGAGAGAGTGCAATAGTTTGAAGAAGGGGGAGGAATCCTTTACTTTGGTTCAAACAAGGAAATCTCAGCCCTTGATTGGTAATAGTACCCGATACGGAGTCATGTAATGTGTACCACTCATTATAGAGTGGTTCACGTACCAGTTCCCTATCAGATCGATATGTACCACCCATACCGCACGGCATACCGTGGTATGACAAATCATGGAATAAACTTTAATGGACATTCAGTTTTTAAGTGTAAGTGGGGTGAGCAACCATCAGAGGGCAATGAAAAGGACTGCTTATGTTACTTTTCAATGAGAATTACTTGAAAATTGAAATTTCAAAATTGTACTTATCATTCTCCATCTCCCTCTTTGTGGTAATAACATAATCACCTCATTAAACTGGTCAAATTTCATCTTTGTTTCTTTTTTTGGTGATGCTACTCTTATGATCCATTATGTGTATTTGTGAGTCGGCAACACAAGATTGGTTTATACTTCATTTGATCGATATGCATAGAAAATTCAAGTAATTATATTTTTGTTATTGTATAATCTTTTCCTTTGATATGATACAATATGTCTCTTAGGAAACTATAACTTCGCACTCTAAGTGGGTGGGCAAGACAAACTTTGTAGAAATTCGATCATTCTGGCATCTATTTAGAAGCTTTGACCGGATGTGGACATTTCTTATACTTGCTCTCCAGGTTTATACAGCTTGTAAAACTTTTTGGCATTTTCTTTCATTTATTCTGTTGTAAAAATGGTTTTCTTGTTTCTCAAATATCACTATAATTCACAGGTTATGATAATCATGGCATGGCATGGCTTGGAGACTCCTCTTGAATTACTTGATCCCTTAGTCTTCGGAGATATTTTAAGCATTTTTGTGACTAATGCAGTTCTTAGGCTCATACAAGGTTTTTCTCCCAATATTTTGCATTATTTCTGACTACAATTTTACACATAATGTACTATTTCTGTCAATATCATAGATTATGTACTGAATGACTCCTTTATCATATTTGATCAATTGCAGTGACTGTTGACTTTGTATTTACATGGAAAGCAAGGCATACCCTGAACTTTAATGAGAAACTAAGATTTGCTTTGAAGTTTTGTATATGTGCAATATGGACGATAATTCTACCAGCTGTGTATGCCACTTCTCAAAAAAATTATGTTTGCTCCACAAAACTATCTCAGAGCAATCTTTATCTGTTCTGCTTATCACCATATATGATTGTGGTCGCAATATACTTGACTAGTAATGTCGTTGGAATGGCATTATTTTTCTTTCCTGCTGTTAGCAGTTATCTTGAGACCTCAAATTGGCAAATCTGTAAATTCATTTCCTGGTGGGCTCAAGTAAGTATCGTCCTCATGTTATTATATGCTTAATTCTCCATAAACTTAGCAGCATAACTCTCTTTTTTTTCTAGGACATATACAAAGCATTAACAATCATGTCTCAGTTATTTATTTGTTGTAGTGGATCAAGGTGAATGCCTAGGTAGTTATCTTTTTGTTTCCAAGGATAACCTCCTTGTCCATCTGAATGGGATATGCATCTAACTATTCAAACATGTTTATAGCTTTCAAATGACAGTTAAAAAGTTGGAAAAAATGAGTAAAGAGTAAAACAAAAATGAAAGCATACAATAGTCGATCAGCTCCATATTTTACAGATGGACTTATGTATATTAGGGCCCTTGGTTTTGAGTAGACCCGCATAATTTGAAGTATAAGAACGATATTTGTTGTAGGGGAATTAAATGGTGGATTGTGAAATATATAGATGACTCCAAATTGATAAATATAGAGGCTTGCTGATGGGGTGTCAATGGGTTGGATTGGATTGCTGTTGGGTTGACCTTGACACGAGACCTGAACATGATCATTATAGTTGAGTGTGTCAAAAGGTCAAAAATCCTTACCTGAACTATTTATTGTTGGCTTATCACAAATAGCCAGTTTGACCTTATTAATTATAGTTCAGGTCTTGTCAGGTCAAATCATTTGACACAACATGACCCATTAAATGCATCACAACCCCTTTAGCCAACTTAATTTGAAAACCACATGGAAGTTCTCATGTTATCCTGGAATTTTATATAGAGTTTTTATTCTCATTAGCTTATATTCCAATAAGTGCATAGTAATATCTGAGAAAATTTCTGGAATTTGAAATTTGTCATTGTATTTCCCACATTTTCTTTTCTTAAACATCTTATAGGGAAAATTTTAATGATCCTACATGCTGTCAATTGTTGAATTAAGTTGATCTGTTTATAAATGCTGATAAGATTTTTTGCTGTAGCCACGACTATACATTGGACGAGGAATGCAAATGGGCCAAGTTTCTCTTCTGAAGTAATTTCCTGATCTATCAATTTTATACATTATTGTTAGTACCATTGGCTAATATCCTCTTTCTCTCTCTCAGGTACACAACATTTTGGGTGATTCTATTGACAATCAAACTTTTGTTCAGCTATTATTTTGAGGTAATAGGATGACTAAATCCAGGGACAAGATTGGTAAACAAGATCAAGGAAAGCACAACAAGAAAATTTGATATTAAATGCAACTTTTGAACTTTTGGTTACAGATTTTTATGTGGATATGTCAAAAAGTAAAATTATGCTTTCACAGCCCAGAATGTGACTCTTTCACTGTTGACTTTCTTTTTAAGGCAAATGCTGAATGCTCATTGCTGGTCTAATTGCAGCTATTAATGACAATTGAACTTTGGATTTCACATGCAGATCTTTGGATCATGAGCACACCATATTGAACTGTAGTAGCTTAAATTTGTAATGGCATTTACAAAAAAATGGCCAACAATGTTGTCCTTTTGTCAAAAGCATAAAAGGAAAATACATTAGTCATGTTGAATAACTGAATATACTGAATTTTAAGATCTGATTATTAAATGTGTGTGCATTTCGGTTTCGGTGTCTTGCAAATAAGTATTTTGAATAATCATTAAGGATGTTTTCAGTTGCATGAAAATTTTCATTGATCTGTTTTTACCCAAACCTCTGTTTCTGATGTTTGTTCAATAGGAAAATTGAACTGTTTGGAATTTACTAGGAAAATTGTTTTTCAGGACTTCTCCAGTAAATGAAAAGAAAACTTATTCAGAACTCCCCTTGACCTCTCTAGATATCTTCCAAAAAGAAGTGGAAGTTTTACCTTTTTGTGCCTCCATACACAAGTGACATCCTTGTTCTCAGTGGAGATATGTTGTAATATAAATTACTTTTCCAACTTTTTTCTTGGATTCAAATAGATGCTAATGTCTAAAGCAGTTAACCATATTGTGTTTCAACTTAACCTTTTTATGGCAGCCAAACAGTTGCTAATGCCTAATGATGTTTTTAATCCTAATCTGTCTTTTCTGGATCTTTATGATTTTTTTTGTGTTTAGATTATGACTAAACAGTCATGATATATTCAATTAAATAACAAATTACATTTTGAATGTTAACACATTTGCATCATTTCCTCTTCTTTTAGGTTATTGATCACAAGTTTTCATATAAGTACTATTGATCTATTTTGTTTCATATAAGTTTCACAAGTCAGACTGAGCTTGCATTTTTTTTGTCATTGTACTAATAGCCAAATGACTCCTTGTCCTCATATGCAGATAAAACTTCTTGTACAGCCAACAAAGCAAATAATGAAAGTTAATGTAAATGAGTATGATTGGCATGAGCTCTTTCCAAAAGGTGCCTTTTCTCATAGCATTATTTATGGATGAAATTTATATGATGTCTATAACTAATTGTCTTCTTTCTTGCTTCAGTCAAAAACAATGCCGGCGCAATCCTTGCAATCTGGGCCCCAGTTCTTCTTGTAAATATCTTCCCATTTACAAAATTAAACATGTTCTTTGTTGTTTGTGTCTTTTCTATTCTTAGTTCCATGCAATTTGCTGGAAGATTCTTGAACTTTGATTCTGTTGCTTTCATTTTCCATTCAGGTATATTTTATGGACACACAGATATGGTATTCTATATTTTGTACAATATTTGGTGGAGTTTATGGTATCATCCATCATCTCGGGGAGGTGAGTTGCCAAGTTTTGTTCCAATCTAAGTCTCCAGCTTGATGCCTATATAACTAGCATATGCTTTAGTGCTGATTGTATCATTCAAATCCAGATTCGTACAATGGGAATGGTGAGAAGTCGGTTCCACTCCTTGCCCTCTAGGTTCAATGATTTTCTTGTTCCTCGCACATCACAAAAAGAAAATAAGAGGACTTACAGAAACTTTTTACACAACAACATTTTTAAGGTGGATGTCTTTCTTTGCACAATCTTTTTAAAACTAATTTTATCAATAAAAGAGTTGATTCCCCTTTTTTTTTTTTCTAATTTTCTCTTTTAATTTACTTAATTAGGATTTAAAACGTGAAAGGAGTGACCTGGTTAGATTTGCTACAGTTTGGAATCAAATTATCAGCAGCTTTCGCAAGGAGGATTTAATAAGTAACAGGTACTTTGTAACTCATTTGTTTGAATTGATACTTACCACATTGTATGACAGTTTAATCGAACACATTATATGACAGTTTAATTTCTTTGCCAATAGAGAGTTGGATTTAATGATCATGCCAGTGTCTGCAAATTTGAGTTCTAATTCTATAAGGTGGCCATTATTTCTTTTGGCTAGTAAGGTAACTTCTATTTTTGGAATGCCATATGCATCATAATACAGTTCTATAACTTAGGAGCCCTTTTCATTTTAGTTTTCGGCAGCAGTGAATGTGACTAAAGATTTTGCGGGGAAGTATGAGCAACTTCAGCGAAAAATAAACAAAGATAGTTATATGATCAATGCTATTAATGAATCTTATGACTCACTGAAGAGTATCTTCGAGTTCCTCATCACTGGTGATCTAGAGAAAAGGTAGACCTTTTTGTCACTCATATTTTACTCATGTTTCCTATATTTCTGTCTCTTGGAATCAATAAACTCCTTTATACTTTTAAATATTGTTATAACATAACTGGCTTTTGGTTCAGAGTTGTGGGGGATATTTTCAAAAAAATTGAACAAGGTATTAAAAATTCAAGCCTTCTTGTGGATTTTCAGATGAATGAACTTCCTATTATACATGATAAGCTTGTCCACCTGGTTGAATTTCTGGTAATTATACTGTGGCTGTTCAGATACTGACTTTAAAAGTCATCCTACTGCTTAAATCTTAAGTTGCCTCTTTTGACATGTGGGCTATCTTTGACTCTTTGTGTAGTTTGAAAACAAACTAGCTCATCGAGAGAAAGTAGTCATTTTACTTCAAGATATAATAGAGATTTTGGCAAAAGATGTGATGATGAATAATTCAAGGTGAGCAACAGAAGATATTGATCTGTTGTATTTTAATTGTTTCTGTTCTTCTGTTGATGGATTCATTGATAACAGTATCTTGGACATGATCAATTGCTCCACGAATCTGGTGTTAGATGGTGATGGTTTATTTGGATGTCATCAGCCAGAGTTGTTTGCATCTGACTGTGCCATATGTTTCCCATTTCCTGATGATGATTCATTGAAAGAACAGGTCAATCACTTATATATCTGAAAAGCATAATTTCTTCGTATGACACCATCTTTTGGGCAGGTTAAGCGACTATATTTGTTGCTCACCGTCAAAGAAAAAGCTATGGACATTCCCACTAACTTGGAGGCTGGAAGACGCATCTCATTCTTTGCGACATCTTTGTTCATGGATATGCCTAGTGCTCCAAAAGTGTGTAACATGTTGTCATTCAGGTACCAAAATTGATCAGTTATTTTCACCGAAGTATTTTGAGTCTTTATCATCATTTATCATCAGTTCGTGACATTTTGTCATTCAAGTGTAACATAGACCAACGTTTGTTGTACTGCCTGAGTTAGTACAATACAGTCGGTATGGACTGATCCGACTGGCAATCGAGACACGGATCACCTGAGTCCCCACCGGTACGCCCTAGCGTTCCGTTTGTCAGGACATCGATGTAGATCGATGCATATGGACCTGACAAATCTTTGAGATGGGTCCAATACTCGAAATGACGAATCCAAATTATATTAAGTTATATATTCAATATTTCAATAATATACATGATTATAATTTGATGTTTCTATGTCTTTAGGGACTGTCTTTATCTCTAGATATAGGATAATGTGGCAAAACGATAAAATATTATTGCATGCTTAAAAACTCAGTAAATGTTCTAAAGCTGCCATTGAGGTGGGAACTGCACAGTTTCATTAGTGGGTTATTGGAACCAGGTGTCCATTCTATGGAGAAAGAGGTGTCTCTACCAACTTGTATGCAGATGGAGATAAAATGTTTCATCTTTTGTCAGGTTGTGCAGAACCCTTTAGAACAACAATAATTCATGAATATTTTATCAAGGATCAGTGAGAATTGATGGATGTAATTGAATTTAGTCGGTGATATCTTTAATTTCCACGAATATAAGAAATTCCTTTTTTTAAGTGACATTAGTCTTCCATCTAAATGCCCTTGTGCTAATTTTTCTAATTTTTTTTGTACATGTTTCCATCTCCCCAGCGCTCAAAAGAGGATTTTCTGACTTACTAAACTAGTTGCTAGAAACAGTGATGAAAATTATTTAGAAAGTAACAACAAAGAGAAATGTTCTCAATGTTTTGGAATAGGGCTGATGTAGCTTGTTTTCCATTAGACTGCTCAAATTAGGTAAGATGTTGGATTTTTGTGACACGCTGATTAAAGTTCAGTGTTATACTAGGAGTCAGCATGAATCCAGCATAAGCTCTGGCATGGACTATCTATGTAAATGTAGGATCAAGTGGTCACTTAGTAGGCTTGCGTGCTCTCCCATGTGGTTAACCAACAAAGAGAAGCACTGATTAGTCTAGTGGTAACATGGCCTGCTTAACTCCTTGGTGGGGAGCCAGCGCTCTTGGTGCTGATGCTAAATTGTGTAACTTGAATCTGAAAATGGCTGCCTCGTGTCTAGGTCTGGGTCCATGAGTGGGATTCTAACAAATAAAGGTTTGGTATCAAAGATGAATGTTGAATCCATGAAGCTAAGGAAGAGACTATAAGACCATATAACAATTGAATTGGCCCTAGATTGGCCTCCAAAAGTTGCCAACAAGGCGGAACTAAAAACTGGTAACACCAGTAAAGTTTAGGGCTTACTTGACCCATGCTATAGAAGCCTAGAAAAGGGTCGGATCATAATGGAAATAAGTAATTAAACAAAATTTGTTGTTTGGCTAACATTATGTGACTCAACCTGGTGATAGAAGATTTTATCTCATATGACCCTTGTAAGATAAGTTGGGTGTAGGATATCAATTTTGCCTATTGTTATGCTGGGTTTGATTTAGTATGTTTGAACCAGGGTCTGCCGTACTGCCCGGTACGGGCGGTACGTACCGGTCCAATAGGTTGTCGGTACGCGGACCGACTGTTACCGGTCCGAGAGTACTGTAGCACTGTAGCAGTTACTAGGTACACCCAGGTGTACCGAGCGGTATACCGTACCGTACCGGTACCGAGCCCAGGTCGAAATACCGGTACGATACGGTATTGCGAACCTTGGTTTGAACCACTACCAGCCAGAGGAATTATCGTCAGTCATGACAAATTTGGAAAAGAAACTCTTAGAGTGCTTTTCTTGATATGTACCATTAAAGTTCATTGATTTTCAACAAAGATAATAAATGTAGGATCCCTATTGTTTTCTGGCATATTAAGGAAGTTTGAAGTTTTAAATTGTAGTAATGTCATAGTTATGGAATTCATATCAAGTTATCAAGATTTACATGGTGTGTAGTAACCTACCTTGTCTGCCATTCTTTCTCATTCCACTTGATTATTATAATATCTCTCAGTGATATTTGCAAAACTACTAAACTAATTGAACTGAATTTCGAAATTCATTTTCCTAATCAAATTCCATGTAGTGACAATAGGCTTTTCTTAAATGGTAAAATTTTTATTTTTTAATATTCTTTACTTCAAAGAAAAAAAGTTGCTGAACTAGTAAAATGAAGCATGGTTCGTCTTACCGGTCCGTATTGATAGACCAATCGACCGTCGATATGATATATACCTAACCGTATTGATGTACTGACACACACTATGGTAGGACATACCAATAAACCGATATATACCGTCCGTACGAGTTCCTTGTAGAACCGATACATACCGTCCATATTGAGTGGCATGCTGCGGCATGGCAAACCTTGAAATGAAGAGCATTAGTCAATGATATTCTTTTGGTTTTTTATTATCCATTAAAAGAAAATTTTGGTTTTCCATGAAATTTTATGGTCTAAAATTCTCTCAAAATTAGTGTGATGACTCCTTACTATATGGAAGAAGTTAAATTTTCACATGAGGAGCTTCACTCAAGTCAAGATGGGGCATCCATTCTCTCGTATATGCAAAAAATATATCCAGGTACCTTTGGGAATGGCTTTGTCATAAATATTGTCTCTTAATTCCATATGCATGTTGCTAATGATTTTCATTTCTTTATTTTAGATGAGTGGACAAACTTTCTAGAACGTCTCGGTCCTAAGGCATCAAATGAAGAAATTCAATATTGGGCTTCTTTCCGTGGACAAACATTGAGTCGCACTGGTGATAAGAGAACAGAAATTGATGCCTTTGCTTTGATTTGCTTCGTTTGTTTGTTATAAAAAAATCTAATATGTGATTTTTCTTTTATCACTGAACCAGTCCGAGGAATGATGTATTATAGGGAGGCTTTGAAACTGCAAGCATTCCTGGACAGAGCTAGTGATTCAGGTGGGGAAATGGTACATCTTAAAGCAGGTATTGAATTTTGTTAAAAAATCTCCTATTCTTCCATCATGGTTCTTAACTTTTTCTAAAATCTCTTGAAATATTTACATAATGAAGTTTGTACCTTGTTAGAAATAAATTTTTTTTACATTTATAAGCTAGGAAGTTGTTCTTATTTGTTAATTGTTAAACCATAAATCTGTAAAGGATATGCTGCTATTGATGGAGAACAGAACAAGAGAAACAGCCAGCATGCATTGTCAGCTCAGTCTGATGCATTAGCCGATATGAAATTCACTTATGTTGTCTCTTGCCAAAATTTTGGAGCGCAAAAATCTTCAGGTGATCCACATGCTCAGGATATACTTGATTTGATGATAAGGTATCCTTTGAAAATCCATTGGCAGTTTGCATCTTTCATTTCTCATTATTACTGACTTAAGATTGATATTCAAGATATCCATCATTACGTGTTGCTTACATCGAGGAGAAAGAAGTTAACTCGGCTGATAATCGACGGCAGGTTTATTCTTCTGTACTGGTCAAGGCAGACAATAATCTCGATCAGGTATTGCTCCTCGAATTATTTTTACTTATACCAAGTCAGATTTGTTTTTTTGAGTTTTGTAGTTATATGTTCTTTACATCAGCAATGGTTGTAGTTGTGCTAGAGCTTTAACCGCAAACCAGGAACATCTGATTTTCTCTGCATGATTGAACAATCCTGTTTAGGTTATTTTATCAAATAGAATAATTGGTGTAATTTAAAATCCTTATTTTGTTATCATTCATGATATTGAATTTGCTTTTTATGCTGAGATTATTTTATATAGTATGAATATTTTTTAAATAGAAATTAATAAATTGAAGTTCTAACAAACTATGGTGGCTAATCCAACAAGATATGGAATGATCTGAGAGTTCCTTATCCTCGTCTTTCATTCATGGGATTGTATCGGTTTAATGATTGTCCTGGTCGGAAGTAAAGACACCATTCCCTTGTTACCTCGCCTTGAAATTTACAGAATCAATAGATGGTAATGTTTTGCTAATAGGAGATCCTCATGGCTGGAAAGATCAATGACCAAGATCTTGTAGCCGTGTTGGCTGACACAGCACCGTGCATACTGCTGGAACATCTGGTCAACAACCAAGTGCCACACGAAGCTAAATCCTTGCTCTTAATGCTAGATGTAAAATCTGTCCAACCTTTTTCCACAGTGGATGATCCATCTAAAGTCATTTATCCAACATCGGTTCTACAAATTCCCCCCCCCCCTTTTTTTTTTCTATAATCAATTTTAGTTCCTATTTCTCTGTGTTCATCAAATCCATTCCCCTATTATCGAGAATTACCTCATGACTTGATCTTCTCTCTTTGGAAATGGTCAAATATGTTTTTTTAATTATGGTATGAAATTTTGAATAGTACCGTCCGGTACGAGTAGTACGTATTGGTCCGACGGCATACCAGTATGTGGACCGCCCATTACCGGATGGAACGTGCTACAGTGCTATAGTGCTACAGTAGTGAAAGAACTATTTAAAACCACTCGGTATGCCCTGGTGTACCAAGTGGTACACGCTACCGTACCGAGCCAACCTCGAAACACCGGTATGGTACGATATTATGTACCTTACTTTTAATTGCTCTGCTTGTAACAGAACTTGTGCTTGACCAGATGCATCTCTTTCTAATTTAGGTTGCATATCATCAAAACAATGGATTGTAGAGGATTAGAAATTAGATTTGAACTATTAGAGTTCATATAATCATCAAAAGCCTTGAGAAGGAGTTTAAGCAGAAGATAACGGGTAAAAATATAAAGCAACGAAAAAACAAAGATGACTCGAATGTGTCGACCTAGAAAGTCTGTTGATGTGGCCAGCAAAACTCTGAGACAGACGGAAATGCTGCATGACCTTTCTGTTCTTTTTGTGTTGATGATCACCGAATGAAGGAACAAATTGTCCTATGTATCTAAGAGAAACTATAACGAGGCTTATATTGTGCTTCATTTGATATTTCACATTGTTGGCTGCAGATGGAACAGAAATTCGTATAGAATTTACAGACAGTCTCATTCTTTCTTTTTCTTTTGTCATTTCAAATTCTTATTTGCATTTCGATACTGGTTGTTGGAATACCTATAGGAGATATATCGTATCAAGTTACCTGGCCCACCGATTATTGGCGAAGGGAAGCCTGAGAATCAAAACCATGCAATTATTTTCACTCGTGGTGATGCCCTACAAACGATTGATATGAACCAAGTATGTGCTTCAGATGCTTTTCATGTTACCTTAGCTGCTGCTGTTTCAGCCTCGAGTTTAACATTCTGGTTTTTCAGGACAATTATCTTGAAGAAGCGTATAAAATGAGAAATGTTCTTCAAGAATTTCGTAGACATCATGGAGAGAACCCTCCGACCATACTTGGTCTCAGGGAACACATATTCACCGGAAGGTCGGTCTATCATTGTTTCCTGTCAAATCTTTGTTAACAAGATGATGATTCAACTCCGGAGCATCTGTTTTACGTACGGTTTGTTCTCGATAATTGCAGTGTCTCATCTCTTGCGGGGTTCATGTCCTATCAAGAGACTAGTTTTGTCACCATCGGGCAAAGGTTTCTTGCAAATCCCCTCAGGCAAGGGCCGCACCATTTTTCTCTTTTCTTGTTTTTCCTTTTGCTGTTACTTTTGTTCTCTGCTTTTTAATAGGATCGCCAAATCGACACACATGCAGGGTGAGGTTTCATTATGGACACCCAGATCTATTCGACAGGGTATTTCACCTGACAAGAGGTGGTGTAAGCAAAGCATCTAAAACCATCAATTTGAGCGAGGACGTCTTTGCTGGTAGGCATGTCTCTTTATGTTCATCACTATCGTTATATTGTTAAAGAATGAATATTTAGTTTTTTTTTTTCTTTTTTGCAGGATTTAATTCCACACTACGTCGGGGATATGTAACCTACAATGAGTATATGCAAGTTGGCAAAGGACGTGATGTTGGTCTTAATCAGATATCAAAATTCGAAGCGAAGGTAGCAAATGGAAACAGTGAACAATCCCTCAGCCGTGACATTTACCGCCTCGGGCAACGCTTTGACTTTTTCCGGATGCTTTCTTGTTATTTCACGACGGTTGGGTTTTACTTCAACAGCCTAGTAGGTGACAGCTCCTAGATCTCTTCTTGTAACAAGCTTTGTGCATGTACGTATCTGTCACTATGCATCGATATCTTTACCTACATGTTGAAACATTTTAGATGGAAGAAACACTTTTGTATAGAGCATACAAAAACCTAGTAGGGGTGATAGCTTCTAGATCTCCTGTAAGAAGCTTTGTGCATGTACGTATCTGTCACTATGCATCAATATCTTTACCTACATGTTGAAACATTTTAGATGGAAGAAACACTTTATTATAGAGCATACAAAAAAACTAGTAGGGAGTGATAGCTTCTAGATCTTCTGTAAGAAGCTTTGTGCATGTACATATCTGTCACTATGCATCAATATCTTTACCTACATGTTGAAACATTTTAGATGGAAGAAACACTTTATTATAGAGCATACAAAAAACTAGTAGGGGTGATGGCTTCTAGATCTCCTGTAAGAAGCTTTGTGTGCATGTACATGCCTGTTACTATGCATCAATATCTTTAACTACATGTTCAAATATTTTAAATGGAAAAAACACTTTAGCATAGAGCATACAAAAAAACTAGTAGGGGTGACAGCTTCTAGATCTCTTGTAAGAAGCTTTGTACATGTATATGCCTGTTACTATGCATCAATTTCTTTACCTACATGTTTAAATATTTTAAATGGAAAAAAAAACTTCAGCATAGAACATACAATAAAACTAGTAGGGGTGACAACTTGTAGATCTCTTGCAAGAAGCTTTGTGCATGCATGTTACCATGCATCAGTATCCTTACCTACTTGTTCAAATATTTTAAATGGATCAAAACACTTTAGCATAGAGCATACAAAAATCCTGAACCCTTTATCACTCATCATTATCCATCGGCATTTTCTCTCAGTAACTTCAAGAAGAACCGGGATTCCTGTATAGCCAGCCTTATTGGAATCCCGATCCTCTGCACACTTTATAATCGTTTCTTTCTTTTTGTCTTACAAGCATCCTCCTTGCCGAGTTGACGTAATGTTTATTCTGGCTTCTTCTTCCATAATAACATGCATGCATTGATTGTTCCTCTTAACTAATCGGTTTTGCCTTTTATTGGAAATTTCGCAGATATCAATATTTGGGGTTTATATCTTCCTCTATGGCCAGCTATACTTGGTTCTTAGTGGACTGGAGAAGGCGTTAATCACGGAGGCTCGAATGCAGAACGTAAAATCGTTAGAAACAGCACTTGCATCCCAGTCTTTCCTCCAACTAGGACTCCTTACCGGGTTACCCATGATGATGGAGCTTGGTTTGGAGAAGGGGGTCCGTATGGCCTTGAGTGACTTCATTCTCATGCAATTGCAGCTGGCCTCCATCTTCTTCACGTTTTCACTCGGAACGAAGGCCCATCATTTCGGAAGAACCCTTCTCCACGGTGGTGCCAAATACCGACCCACCGGTCGCAAATTCGTGGTTTTCCACGCAAGCTTTTCTGAGAACTATCAGCTCTACTCACGAAGCCACTTCGTCAAAGGATTCGAGTTGCTCTTCCTCTTGATCGTCTACAACCTGTTCAGGAGAACTTATGAGAGCACAGTGGCGTATGTCATGATCACTTACTCTTCATGGTTCATGGCGGGAACCTGGTTGTTCACGCCCTTCCTCTTCAATCCTTCTGGATTCGTGTGGCGAAAGATCGTCGAGGACTGGACTGACTGGAACAAGTGGATGAACAATCAGGGCGGCATCGGCATACAGCCAGACAAATGTTGGGAATCATGGTGGAATGCCGAGCACATTCATTTTCGGCACTCGGGGTTGAGTTCCGGAATGGTCGAAGTTGTTCTCTCCCTGCGGTTCTTCATTTATCAATATGGACTCGTTTATCACCTCGACATATCACACCAAAGCAAAAACATCGTGGTTTATGTGCTTTCATGGTTTGTGATTGTTGCCGTGTTCTCGTTGGTCAAGGTACGCTACGTCCACTCTGCTTCATTGCTTTTCTACTTTGGAAGACGATACTACATGTAACCTCGTACCATCATGATGACTAACTATGATGCAGCTGATACATGTGGGCCGTCGCCGGCTTAGCGCGAAGCATCATCTTCTATTCAGGGTTTTCAAGTTGTTTTTGTTTCTGAGTGCGATAGCATGCATCATCACTCTATCGAGCGTATGCAAGCTCTCCATCATGGATCTATTTGTGTGCTGCCTTGCCTTCATACCCACTGGCTGGGGGCTACTGTTGGTGAGTATATATATATCTAAATACACCACACACACACACACACACACATCGCACATGATATCTTCTTATCGGTGTTGTTTGATTGCAGATCGCTCAAGTTCTGAGACCCAAGCTCGAGTACACGGGTGTGTGGGACACCATCCAAGCCGTAGCGTATGCTTACGACTCTGGGATGGGCTGTGTGCTCTTTGCACCCATCGCAGCCTTGGCATGGATGCCTGTCATATCAGCCATCCAGACGCGGGTCCTCTTCAACCAGGCATTCAACCGGCAGCTCCACATTCAACCTATTCTTGCAGGGAAAAGCAAACTCAGATAATTCGGGACTCTGGATGACTAAGTTTTGATTGTGTATGATATGATTGTTATTATTTTCTATCAAGCAAGATTTAACATAAGAAATATAGACTATCAAAAATGGAATGGACAAAGAACTTATTGTCCACGTTAAATATTAAATCATTAGAGCATCTAACTGAACAACACTGTATTAAATAGTTTTCTTGTCTACTTATAAAACTTAGATGCTTGCAGATGTATACTACATATGTTTTTATTTGAAATAAATTAGATAAGTAATTTTATTCAAAATAAACTAAACAAAAACTTATAAGCTTATATCTTTGATGTTTGTAGATAACGGACTACATTTGCCACACGAATCCTGCTACAATCTTTTATAGGAAGTTAATATATAGGCTTATTTCTTTTGTCATCTCATTGATATGGGACGAGGGAGATGTGATTTATTATCCATCCTTTAAATTCTAATACTACTCGATGACTTCTCTCCTTCAAAATTGATAGATGTATATTGAGTCAATTTTGTTAAGTTAAATTGATGATAAAATCATATTAGTAGTGCTAAAAGGAGGATCTCGAGATTAGTAGTGCCATAAAATGTATATGTATATGTGTATATATATATATACATACATATACATAATTCTTAATTAACCTCAACTCACAAAGAAATTTCCTTATACATTCTCTCGTATAAATCCGAAGAAATTATCTTTTCTCTTGGGTTCAAAGCAAAATAGCAGAGACAAGTGATCCAGTCGAAACCAATGGAATGTAAAGTTGATGCAACCAAGAGCACTTCTTGCTGGCTTTTAAGAGATGTTGGTCACAAGCTGTAGGTCTCAGAATACGATCGGATTCTAACCTGGCAATCTTTCTGATTTCCAATTGTTGTATGTGCTTTTGCTGCTCAAAGAAGAGCATCTCCAGTGACCAAGCAACATAAAATGGAAGTGGGTGGAACAAAAAGCTGCCATTGTTTATATAAATATATATATATAGAGAGAGAGAGAGAGAGAGAGAGAATAACCCTCAGAATCTTCAACTGAGATGGGAATGTGCATACTAATTCCATGAAGCTTCAAATGGTGCCATGGCCACTTCTTTTAGGCAATACAGAACATGTCATTAACAGTCACTTCCAATCCAAGTAAGCATCCATCTCCCTGTCATTGCTCAATCCACTCAGAAAACTACTGCTTTTATTCCTGAGAGCTGAAACAGAAGCAAATCTCCACAGACAGCAGTTTGAGTTGCATGAAACCATGAGAAACAATGACAACAACAACAACAACAACAACAACTACTACTACTACGACTACTGCTACTGCAACTGGAAGATAGAACACAAGCAGAAGCAAATGACAGAGAGGAGTGAGGGCACCGACCAACCAGAGAGTCATAAAGAGATGATGGGGTTCCCATCACTCTCCTCTGTAAGCAATCCTGTGAGAACACACAAGTGTTTTAGACTGCTGGTGATCGCTTCCCCTGTTCGACTCCATCAACTGCGAGACGCAGAGGAAGCAGACGGCGGCTTGCCGGTGATGATGCCGTCGTGCTCCTCTTCGCCCTGGATCCGTGCCGGGACTTGGAACCCTGAGAAGCCGGTGCCAGATGCCAAACCGATGGATGAGATTGACGGATGGAGCGCAGGTTGCATCCGGTGATCGGCTGCGGCAGCTGCAGCTGCAGGGTCGGCCCAAGCTCGGATCGCGGGCGGGTTACTGGACTGAAGGGGTCCCCTCTGAGAGAAAAGCTGGCTATGGCCGAGCACAGAGTGCAGCGGCACCGCCTGCGGTGGTGGGAAGCTGAATGCGTGGCCTCCGCCACAGCCGCCGCCGCTCGATTCCACCACGTTCCACGGAGAAATCCGGTGGCCCTGTTCGTCGGAGCCAAACGCGAACTGGACGGAGCCCGGGAAGTGTGCGTCGTGCGTGGGAGGAGCTGAGCTCTGGTGGTATTGGCCGTGGTGGCGATGATGGTGGCTGGATTCAGGATTGCGAAAGATCGGATCTTGGAAGGATTGGAGGGATAGGCGGAGGTATTTGACTTGGCTGCTATCTCGCGACGGAAGGTCGGATGAGTAGGTGTGGAATCCAACGGAAGGGGTAGAGGACAGCGAAGTAGCAGCCGAAGCAGCAGCCACTGGGAAGAAGGACTTGATCGTATCGACGATCGAGTCGGTGTCCAGTGATGGTGGCAGAAAGCTAGCGTTAGCACCGCCGCCGCCGCCGCCAAAGCTGAAAGCAACGGAAGCGACTGGATCGGCTACTGGAATCGGTTTCCTGCTGGACTCGCCGGTGGCCTGCTCGGTGGACGGGAACTGATTGGGAGGAGGAGGTGGAGGAGGGCGGGAGGAAGAGGCGACGGTTGCGGAGGGGGTCCAGGGAGGAAGCTCCGCGAGCTCGTCGATGGCGGTCTTGGCGTTCTTGATGAGCCAGTCGACGGCCTTGCTGGGGCGGTCGTAGCCGAGGCGGTCCTGCACGTCGTAGAACTGGATGGCGGTGTGGGCGGAGAGGCGGACGCGGCGGTCGCGGGGGCCCTTGGCGGTGCACACCTTGCTGTGGCGGTCCTTGCGGCCGGTGGACCGCACAATGTGGCCTCCCTGGACCTCCACGATCTCCCCGACCGCGCCGCCCCTCACGCCGCCGCCGCCGAGCCTCGAGCGCGCAACCGGCCGCTGCAACTGCTGCTGCAGGAAGAGGCTTTGGTGGCTGTAGCTCTCCCCCATCCTCTCGGGAAGCCGGGCATACTCGGAGAAGGAAGCGGTGGCAGCCGAAGAAGAAGAAACGTAAGCGCCCCAGTCGTGGCGGTGGATTTGATGAAGCTGAACTCCTCCTCCGTTTTCTACCTCTCTTTCTCCTCCTCCGCTTTCGTTTGGTTCCGCCGGAATCGGAAGATAGGGAGCCTCTGTCGGATCCAGATCCTTCTCCCTCTTCTTGCGTCCCTGTTCCAGCTTTCGATCTCACCAACCTATGGCTGCTGCTGCTGCTGCTACCAGATCTTGTTTCTCTCTGCTTCCTCTTGCCACATATTCTCCTTCTCCTTCTGCGGCTAAACTGGTAGCATCTCGCTCTCCTCTCATTGCTGCTCCTGCTTGTAAAAGGTTTGGCCATCCAAGCCCCAGGAGTCCATCACCGGACACCACCACCTGAGCTCTTACGCAACCAACACAACCCTCGGAATCAAGCTCAACGCAAGAAGAAGCAAGGAAACAAAAGGTAGATCCTCAGCTGATCAAGAACGCAGCTGAGGAAGAGGAGCCCTGAGTCGGATTTCCGATCCCAGCCATCACATCGCTTCAACCAAGTGGAGGGCGGAGAAGCACATCCTGTGGAACAGCTGCAAGGACGAGGAATGCGGACATGGGTTTGGGTTTTAGTTGGACGCGAAGAAGCGGAAGAGAGAGAGAGGGAGGTAGAGAGAGTGGGCCTGGGCCTATTATTTGGAAGAAGAACCCGTCCTGTGGATGCCAGTCTTGGGCAGAGGGTAGAGAGAGAGAGAGAGAGATCACACCCCATCACCCAAGGCAAAGACCCCGAAGCAGCAGCCTTGACCTCTTCAGTCCGCTGTTGAAGAGATAAGAAAAGCAAGTCCTCCATCCTCACTGCTGTCTCTCTCTCTCTCTCTCTCTCTCTCCCATCTCTTTCTCTCCTCTTTTGAGCTTGAAGGACAGTGACAATTGTCCCTTTCTCTCGGTCACCGACTCCTTTAAGCGCCTTTGCGAAAAGAGAAGCCACCTTTTCCCCACCCGTGGCTACATGGCGTTGCCAAACGACCCTTCTTCCTCCTCCCCGTCCATCCTCTTCTTCTTCCTCGAGGTCACTCTGACCAACTGCAGCCTGCCCATTACCTTTTGCTGTTGTTGCCTTCTTCTCTCTCCCGACAGCGACATCGCTTGTTCCTGTGTCATTAACTTGTCAACCGTACTCGGAACTGTGGGCAACAGCAGCAGCAGCAGCAGCAGCAGGAGGATGAGGATGATGATGATAGTGGTATTGAGATTGCCATCGTATCCATGCTATGAAACGCTATCCCAAGCTGTCGCTCCACGCGTCATTCTGCTCTGCTCCATGATTACAACTCCCGGATCTGCACGCATAAAGAAATGGTTGGCACGCGGTCGGTGCCATGCCCACCAGAATCTAAGCACTGCCTCCTCTTCTTTTACTTTCTTCCCCCCTCCCCCAATCCATCACGACATTCCCCGAGGTGATATATATATATATATATATATATATATATATATATATAGAAAGAGACAGAGAGAGAGAAAGCTTTTGTTTTAGTAATTTTATAGTGTATTTTTGAATCCTTATAAGAGAGATATAAAGTAGCATTAGAATATCAGTCAAATAAATTGGGTGAATTAAAAAAATATTGTTTTATTTTAAATAATAAAATTTTGAAATATTTTTTTTCCTTTTTTGAATTATTATTTGAAATAATAATATTTTTATTTTAATAATATCAAACAAATATTACAATAAATTTTGTATCACGATACAAAAATACTACAAAAGCACAATGTCTTTATATAAATTTCATAAAAACAATGTGTCTATAGTGATTCTACATTGCATTACAGTGTTTTTATTAATACTAATAAAAATTATAACACAATACAAAAAACACTATAACATAATATTTTTTTATATTACATCATAGTGTTTTTTATTTTTTTAGTATTGTTGAAAATACTATGACTAGATCCGTTCATCTTATAGAAAAATGATGAAGATAGGTGACTGCAATATTTCAAGTATTAGGAAAAAAAAAGGATATATTAGAAAATTCTAAAAATAAGAGCACTTCTCAAGAGAGAATTTATCTAAATAACCTTTCATCATTAAGAATATATATTATACGAATCCTCTCTTATGAACACGATCTCGAGTTCTTTGGATCAAGCCATGCACTCACTCGAACCCTAGTATTCATCTCGTCGAGTAATATTATTTGAAACTACGATGTCAGCCGTCCTATCGAAAAGACTTAATTGACTTCATCCTCTCTCTCCTATTAAAATTAAATAAATTATTTTTTAATGATTTCAAAATATGATATTGAAACTGTAGACAAAATTCTACCATGTAATTCCAACTACATATTAGGAGTAGCAAATCTTCGATGTGCAACTTAGGAGGATAAGCACAAACTTCTCGTAGCTTAATTATTGAGTCTGCACTTCGTTCTTACATCAAATTATTTCCGCAAGTTGCTGACAACAAGACACGCCGTACAATAAATAGATGGGAGTCAAACACATACAAAATCTAACATTATTAGATACATTTACATGTTGATAGTGATAAATTGTAATATAATGTCAAAGCACGTGAATTAGTTGAATATAATATCTATTTATACATGTTAGAAGAGTGGATTTTCCTTAACTGATCAACGAGATTTTCTCGTGCAGTTAAAAAAATCTGCTAGTTGATCAGCCGTATGTACATGAGAAGCGCATAGTTGTTTTGTTAGAGCTAGCTCGAGCAAATTTACCAAAGGGTAATTTTGACAACCCAACAAAGATAATAAAGTGGAAAAAATAAAAGCGACAAGAAAATCAAATTTATGTGGTTCGATGAATTAACGTATATCCACGGACAAAAGAGGAGTAAATCACTATTATAAAAGAGGAACTATTATAAATGCCTTAGGAAGATGTTCCTAGGCCATAAAACACCCGAATCTATTAAACAAGAAAAACCCAAACTATAAGCCTAAACTATTTAACTGAGTATGGACTTAAACCCAAAGCAAACACTTAGATTTTTCTTGTGGTGCATTTGACTTCAAAGCCTGGGCCCTTATTTATAGTTTAAACAGGAGATACCAAACTTGATTTTCCTAATGTGGGACTATGTGGGACTTGCCAAACTAATAAATCTCCATCTTGGCATGTCCCAATAAAACTTGCTCCACCTTCTTCACAAAAGCCCCAACGGGCAATCACCAACAATAAACACCAACCAAGTCCAAACACTGCTTGAACTTGTAAACTGGAAGTGGCTTCGTAAGCATATCAGCTGGATTGCCCTTCGTATGAATTTTCTGAACAAGGACCTTTCCCTCAGTAATAGTATCCCATTTGCATCCAACAATTTTCTTACCCGAAGACGACTTCACAAGATCTCAAGTTCTATTCTGATAGAGAGATTCTATTTCTTCGTTCATCGCAATTAACCACTTAGCAGAATTATCATAAGAAACTGTATCTGAGTAGGTAGTAGGCTCACCAACTTCACTTATTTCTCCTGCAACAGACAAAGCATATGCAACTAAATTTGCATATCTTTGTGGTGGTCGAATATCTCTCCGTGGTCTATCCTTGCCTATGGAATATTGCTCTTCCTCTATATCATCTTTGTTAGTAGATTCGGGACTATCTACTGGTATTCTTTGAGTAAAAGAGTTCAACTTAAAAGAATCTAAACTACCAATCTCAAGCTCCACTTGCTTCTGCGCACTGTCATTTGTACAACTAGTAGATTCCTCTTTGGAAGTTAACATAGACAATTCATCAAAAGTAACATCTCTACTGATTATAAATTTTGGGGATTTGGGATCAGAACACCATAATCTGTATCCTTTCACCCCAGAAGCATACCCAAGGAAAATGCACTTTTTTGCTCGAAGCTCTAATTTTTCTTCATTTACATGCATGTATGTTGGACACCCAAAAATTTTTAAACTAGAGTAATCAGCAGGAGTACCTGACCAAACTTCCTTCAGAGTTTTAAAGTTAAGTGCTGCAGAAGGAGCGCGGTTGACAACGTAACAGGCCATATTAATCGCCTCTACCCAAAAGTCCTTTGTCAACTCTGCATTTGAGATCATACACATTGCTCTCTCCAAGAGTGTTCTGTTCATACGCTCGGCCACACCATTTTGCTGAGGCATCATCCTACCAGTGCGATGTCGAATAATTCCTTCATTTTTGCAGAATTCATCAAAGTCACCTTCATAAAATTTTATGCCATTATCTATTCGAAGCCGCTTAATCTATTTACCTATTTGCTTAATTAAAGCCTTCCGTTGTTTAAAGGTTAGAAAAAAAATATTTTTATGTTTCAAAAAATAAACCTAAACTTTTCTAGAATAATCGTCAATGAAAGTCAATATATACCTGGCACCACCCTTAGACTGAACATGAGTTGGACCCCAAAGGTCTGAATGAATATAGTCAAGAGTACCTTTCGTTTTGTGAACTACCAGAGAATTGAAACTGACTCTTTTCTACATTCCAGAAATACAGTGTTCACAGAAATCCAGTAGCTAAGTACTCTATCCGCAAAGTAGACCCCTTTTGCTCAATATGCTCAAACATTTTTCACTCATATAACCCAAACGCATATGCTATAATTTGGTGATGTCAGAATCAGACAATGATGATGACGAGACTACAACTGAGCTTGTGACAGTAGTTCCCTGCAAAATATACAAGCTACCAGACCTACAAGCTTTCACAATAACAAGAGCACTTCTAGAAACTTTCATAACTCTACCTTCAACTGCGTATTTACACCCAAGGGCATTTAGGGTGCCTAAAGAGATGAGATTCTTTTTTAAATCAGGAACATGTCTAACATTAGTGAGCGTCCTCACAATACCATCATGCATTTTAATTCAGATTGTTCTTCTACCAACAACATCACATGTTGCATTATTGCCCATCAAAATAATTCCACCATTACAAGATTCATATGTGGAAAACAAATCTCTATTAGGACATATGTGATAAGAACAACCCGAATCTAAAATCCATTCATTTTTAGACCTCGTCCTGTCATCAGTAGCAAAGAAAATATTTCCATTATTCTCATTAGCTACTACACTAGCTTCAGTAGACTCAGTAGTTTTCTCAACAATTTTTTTCCTTTTGCTTTAATTTATTTTTTAATTTAAAGCAATCAGCCTTAATCTGTCCTATTTTATGATAATATCTGCACTCCAAATTTCTATGTCTGGATTTAGATCTAGATTTAGATCTACTACTATCAAATTCTCTTTTATCCATTCTACCATTGACAACCAGACCCTTAGTCTGATTCCCTCTACTTTCCCCAGTGATATCCCTGTCTATCTGCTCTTTAGATTTTAGTGCAGATTTAATTTCCTTATATAAAATTGTTTCTTTTCCATAAATCATAGTATCACGAAAATACTTAAAAGGATTGGGGAAGAGAATACAAAAGTAATAGAGTCTTATCCTCGTCATCAATTTTCGCATCTATATTATCCAAATCCATAACTAAGGAATCAAATTTATCAAGATGTGAGAGTATAGATGTACCTTTAGTCATTCGAAGCATATACAAACTTTGCTTCAATTAGAGACGATTATCCACTGTCCTCTTCATATACAAGGCTTTAAGTTTATCCTACATGCTCTTAGCCATAGTCTCTGTAGCTACCTCCCGTAAAACCTCATCAGAGAGATTTAGAATAATACTTGATCGGGCCTTCTTATCC